ACTTTACCAACTGAGTTACAGCGCCAGCCTTCCTTAATCTTTTTCATAATTTCTTTTGTTGGATGAAATTCCCATTCCCTGCAGTTTGCTATTTTAAAGCGCACATTTCAGTGGTCTTTGGCATGTTTTTACTAGAATTGTGCAACCATTGTCACAGTCAACTTTAGAACATATTATCACCTCCCAAAGGGAGCCCCAGCCCTGGAGCTGTCCTTCCCTAATGCACAACCCCAGACAACCATTAACACGTTGTTGTGTCTGAAGAGTCACCCATTCCAGTCATCTCATATGAACGGAATGGTGAGACATGGCCTCCTGTGTCTAAGCCTCTTCTGAGTATCATGTTTTCCAGATTTCTCACGTGAGCCTGCTCTTCTCTGCAGGTGTTACTCCAGCGTGGCCCGTCCGCAGCTGCTCGGCACACTCGTTGGCTGGTGAACGGTGGGGCTCCCACCTTATGTAGATGACTACCAGTAACAAAGCAAATGTTCACAGCCAGGTGTGTGTGGGCACTCTGGGCAGATACCCGGAAAGGATGGCAGGTCTTGGGTGATTCTGCATCCCAGCTCTAGAGGAATGTCAAGTGTACACGGGTGTTTATGTGCATGTGTGCATGTGTGTACATGTGTGTGTGTGTTTTGATAACAGACATCGTTGTGAATATAGAATGACATCTTGCTGTTCTTTGTTTTTAGGGTTTCCTTTTTGTTGTTTTGCTTTGTCTGAGACGAGGTTTCATTCTGTAGCCCCGGCTGGCCTGGAACTCACTACAAACAGCAGGCTGGCCTCAAAAGCACAGAGATTCACTTGTCTCTGCCTTCCAGGTGCTGGAATTAAAGGCATGCACCACCATACCTGGATTTCATTTTGTTTTCTAGGAGACAGGGACTTGCTCTGTAATTCAAGCTATCCTGCAACTATCAGCGATCCTCCTGCCTCAGCCTTCCATCACATGCTGGAGTTATAGGTGTGGACCACCATTCCTAGTTCAGGAGGTTGTCTCTTGTTGCTGAGCTGTATGGTCTCCATGGTGGCTGATACAAGTTCCTTATCAGATAGATGGCCTGAAAAACTTTTCCATTTGGAAGATTTTTATTTCTCTTTTCGTTTCCCTGGATTCATCATATAAAAGTGCTAGCTTGGGCGATGTTCAATTTATGTGTTTTTCTTCTGTTGCCTGTTTCGTCTATGTCTTTGTTCTTTTTCGGGGGCTTAGTGGGGCTGTCACGAGCATGGGCTTGTACGCATATAAGTAGTGGGGAGGGAGCCCTGACCCTGGGCACAGATAGATGAGGCAATTAGGGAAAGCTCGCTGGTGGGAGTGACTGTTTTTTATGATGCCGAGTGGGGTGCCTTGTTCCCTCTGTGAGGGCTTCTTGGCATGGGTCTAGGACCCCAAAGCCCATTCATGTTGTGGGGTATCTTTCCTGTTCCCTGCCACCCTGATCTCCAAGCACTTCCTTTCTGAGGCCACCCTGAGCAGTGAGCAGAAAAGCCACTGGTCAGGAATCACATAGGATAACTAATTTTGACTTACAGAAGCTGTCTTAAATTGAATAGAAATGGGTGAAAATAGGATTAAGGAGAAAGCCAAGCCAATAACAGATGAAGGAAAACTCCCTAAGAGCTGTCTGCCTGGCTGCACAGGCACTCAGAGGTGGCCGGGTAGGAAGAACACTGGACATTGCTGGGCGATTACATCACATCCCTGGACCGCTGCCCACGCCACCCCAGCCAGACTGTGGCCATCTCAGGGCGGGACGATAGGGTGTGCATTGCTCTCCCTGTGGCTGGTTTATCTGTGCAGAGCCCACTCCGTCCTGAGGATTAGTTTGGAAACAATTAAAATTCTGTGCAAAGCAAGCAGAGGCCGGGTGGCCAGCAGCGACCCATGAGGGGCCTTTACCCACAGAAATCTCAATACAAAGGATCAAGCCGGCCACAACCTGGAGAGCAAGGGACAGCTGAGAAGGATGGAGGGGGTACTGGAGCGAAGAAAGCTGCAGGTATGGGAAAGCAACTAAGAGGGTTCTCTAACCTCCTTGCTTCTGCTGCGCCCGCCCAGCAGCTCTTCCCATTCACACGTCAGGAGACCCAGGCTCAGTTAGTAAAGTGCCTGCATGGCACAAGGACTGAGTTGGTCCCCAGACCCAGTGAGAAAGAGTTCGGACTAATAGTGCACGCGTGTAACCCTAGCTCTGGGAAGATAAAGATGAGAGGACCCTGAGGCTTGCTGACCAGCCAGCCTCGCTTTCTAGGCAACGTCCAGAACAGTGAGAGACCCTGTTTTAAAAAAGAAAAAACAAATGGAAGGTGTCTGATAAACCACACCAGGACACCAGGAATCGTCCCCTTGTCTGCCAACTCACACATCCACAAACACATACATATACCACACCACCACCACCCAAAGAGAGAGAGGTGGGGATGGCAAATCCTTCTGACTCTCAAGGGGTGGCAGCCAGAAGTCTGTAGGCCCTGCAGACTGAGCCTCGGCAGGTTCGCAGTTGGGTGGCACTTCAGCGACCTGCAGATGTACTTTATCCCAAGATTACTTTCAGGGTATTTGTGAGCCCCTGTCCTGTCCTCTGTGAGACTGCTGAGACGCATGTAGCCCTTTTCCTGGCATTTGAAGGAACCTAATTTAGCTGAGATGCAGCAGAGGACACGTGGTGACTCTCCCAGGAGGCAGAGGTGACTCACACAGCAAGGCATCCTCAGGCCCCTATAGTGCAGGTGCACGAAGGCCACCAGGTCACAATGAGCTGGCTCACACCTCTGCCCACTACCTCTTAGAGCTTCCTCAGAGTCCAAGGTGCGGACATGGACAAGGGGCACACCGTACAAGGGCCTCAGAGCATACCTGCTGGTTACCCTCAGCAGGGGTAGCAGGTCTTGGGACAACTTCAAGAGGCTTCCCCTAACTCCCTTGCTTCAGTTCCCCAGCCTAGGTTCTTCCCATTCACACTCGCTGTTCTTCAAATGCACGGACCCCAAGCAGCCAGGAGCCTGCTCTGCTCAGGGGCAAGAATAGGAGTGCCCAGTCTGTACCCTCGGATTACCACACAGCCTCTCATTGTCCTTGAGTCCCAGAGTGACAAAGTGCAATGACAAGGACAGCAGGGTATGAGCAGATGTGAGTGTGCGTGTAAGAGTGATTGTGGTCTGTGAAAGGGTGTGAATTACCCGTGGGAACACACCAAGGGGTCCCCATCCCGTAGGGCTGAGGACACAGCTCTCGGGGCAAGGCTTTCTGAAAAGGAATGGTACAGGAGAGCGAGGGAAGGGTCCTCCATGGAGAGACAGTCCCCTCTGGGAGCACCTGTGGCTCCTTTTCTTCCTCTCTGGGAGCTGAAGCGAGACTTGCCTCACCATAGCACTGAAGAGTCTGCGATGGCCTGGGCTTCCCTCTTCCCTGTGCCCATCCAGATGCCAGGGTAGACAGGACCTGGTGATGGGTCCTCCAGGACTCTGGCTGAGCAGATGTCTACTGTGGCTCCCCGATCCACAGTGGCTCTCTGAGGAACTGTACTCATCCCTTGCTATTTAAAAACCGGCTTCTTCCACCCACCCCCAGGCAAGATGGCAGGTGGTGGCTAACCAGACCCACGCAGGAGCTGACAGGTTAGTAGTCAGGACTCTACCCAAATAGCAGCCATTATGACAGGAAGAGGCTACCCCAGAAAATACTGTCCCCTAGGCAGGGGAGAGATCCCAGTTAGCCTCAGGCTTCAGTCGGGTGCAGGGAGTGATTGGCCTAGGGTCATGTGGTGACCAGAAGCTGGGCCTGGCTCCTGCCCCTTTGGCTTCACTCATGTGTGATCTGGTGTCCCTCACACCCTAAAAGAAAACCTGGAATGTCTCCCAGACCAGCAGGTGTGCAGGGGGTTCCCAAATTTCCTCCTACAGTCTCTGCCTGCCGCCCCTGGGGACCTCACCCCAATGTGACCCTGGCCGGGGGTTTCAAGGTATGTGAGCAAACTTCTGCTTCTGAGAGAATTCCCCAGGCAGGGAGGAGCGGGGCTTTCCTGCCAGAATACAGAGTTCAGCAGCCAGTGGCCTGAGTGACCAGGGACAGTGGGTACCCATGTCTCAAAGATGGACATGGCTCCACCTGCAGCTTGCTGCAGTGCCACTCACAGAGCAGAAGATGACAGGTTAGCCACCAGCACCTGGGACCCCAGGGAACTCTGGAGTCCTCTTACCCTACCCACCCAGGCACGAGTCCTGGAAGGGGACCCTCAGAGATTAGAGACGCATGCTGGCGGATCTTCAGTTACATCAGTAGCTGGCCTCCTCCATTGGAATGGGAGTGTCTATAGCTCCTCCAAGGGCCTGACACCGTGTCTATTTTCCGTGTACCTCGTCCCAGTCTCTACCTCCCCATGAAAGGTCGCTCCTACCCCTGGGAGCTTAGGTCATGCCAGCATCATAGGGTAGACACCGGAACCTTGATTCTCACTGCTTCGGGCTCCGGGCCTGTCAGGCCCCCGCCACTCCGTGTTGGCTAAGGGTATCCTTTCTCCTCCTAGGAGCTCCTGGGGTGCAGGTCAGGGCAAGCAGTATACTACTCTATCCCTGCAGGGCCTGTAAAGTAGGTCTTGAGGGCTGGGCCAAGAGCAGACTCTACTTCCTGATTTTCCTGGAAAATTCCCTTGGAATCTACTTGGCCAGAGGCCAAGGCTCCTTAGGGCATCTTCCTCCTTCCTTCTTCAGCCAAAAGCTCATGTGGCTGTCCCACCCAATGGGGACAGAATCCTTGGGGTGATTCATCTGCCCTTCTCCAGAAGCCCTGGCCTCTCTCTGTGGGACAGGTAGGGCTGGGGACACATTCAGAGCTGATGAGAGACAACCCAAGGCCAAGTTCTCCTGGGCCAGGTAGCATCTTGGGAGACAGGGGCTTGTGTTCACTGGTTCCCACCTCCTAAGGGTGGGTCACAGTACAGTTGGGGACACCCTACAAATCCCAACCAAACTCAGAGAGCCTCTGTCCTCTCTCAGCCAGACCCTGAAGGACAAGCTGGAACCACATGGGATAGTCTGGACCTATGGATGCACTTCTAAAGGTCCTAAGCTGCCACCCAGCAGGTATGGCTGGTGGGCTGGTGGGCTGGTGGGCTGGTGGGCTGGTGGGCTGGTAGGTGGGGCTTGGTGGGCTGGTGGGCGGGGCTGCTAGAATTTTGAGTGGTGGGAAATCCTCAGAACAAGCTGCACCTTCGTGCCTCTGCTCCCTGACACTTCCCTTTGCTCTTCTCTCTTTCCAGTCGTCATCTTTGGATTTCTCCTCCCTCAGCCTCAGTTCCCACATCTGGGAAGTGGATACAGCAGCCTCTGGTATCCTGTGAAAAGGATAAGCACCATATGAGCACCTCAGGCAGGGAGTGGCCAGGCCAGGCCAGGCAGAGATGGAGGTCTCATCAGGAGACCTGAGCCCCAAATCCTTCTGCCTAGCTGGGGAGAACCTGGACCATTGGCCAGGCTCCTGTGCTATAGTTTCTCTGTCTGTTACAGGGGCAGAAGCAGCAGGGCCATGATTGAAAGAGCATTTACTTCACTACACAGGTCACAGTAAAGTGCTGCAATGTCTACCAAGAAAGGCTGTGGGGGTCCTGGAGGCCCCTCTAGAGAAACAAGCCTTGGGGTGCTAGGCACATCTGGGAGCTTGTGAGGTCTCTCTCTTGCCTCACCCTGATGGCCAGGCTCAAGGCATCCTAGTTGGTGTTTATTGGGCTGTGCCTCCCCAAGCCTGCCCTTTACCTAAAGGCGTATTCATTTCAGTAGCTTCGGATGCCACCTTCTCCTGCCTTCCCAGCATAGTCTGTTCTACGCAATGACCCTAAAGGATGATGTCTGTGATTTCACCATGGCTAGCAAAAAGGGCTGGGGCCAGCACACCTCCACCAGCCCCAAACCTGGTCCTGGCCTCCAGGGCTAAGTCCTCCATGCCGGTGGGCACAGGAAGCTGGGTTTCCCAAGCCCCTTGGTCAGGTGATAACCAAGGACTGGGCTGAGATTTGGACTCGCCAGGGGCACAGGAGTGGAAGCCGCTGTTTTCACCCGTTGGCTCCCACATGGAGAAATTATGGCCCCTGGGTCATGTCTTGCTCCTTTCCCCTTAGTTTCTCTGTTTGCATGGAAGCAGCATTTACAGTGGAGAGAACTCAGGACTATCTCTCTGGGGTCCTGCCTGGCCCCTAGGTGGTGTATAGACAGCTTGAGTGGGGCGAAGCTGTAGCTCTGGACATGTGTCCTGCTGTCTACACTCTCTTCCTCTAGCCCTTGCAGGTCCCCAAACGAGGAGTGAGGCCATCCTATGTATAGAGTACCCAGGCACGCAGCTTAGAGCCACTCACAGGTCTGAATGCCTGGCACCCTGGCACCTGCCATCTCTGTGGAGATGGCCACTGCTACTCAAAAAGTACCCTGGGAAGAAGCGGTGAGGGCAGAGCCAGGAAGCTGTGTCTGCATTCGTGTGTAAGATGGTGGGCTGGGTCACTGACACAGCTGATCTGTTTTGGACCCCTCTGCAAAGGCGGCTATCAGGGTTACTTTATGACCCCTGGAAGGATCGAGAAAATTTCCCTCCCACCTTTGCCTGAACCCATTACATCTGGAAAACCTGACTTCTGTTTGAACCATCGAAGCCCTTCACATTCTCTGTTTCCATACAGTCTGTCAGAGTGCTACCTGACCACTAGGAAAATCCCACCTGTGCAGGGAGCTCGTATAGTACATTGCTGTCTCGTGGTGACACGACCTTTAAGATTTTGAAATCAGAGACCCTCCCAAGGTCAGGCTCGCTGATGCTCTCTCGGGGAAGGGATGAACAGAGGGTCATCAGACCCTGGATTCCACCGCGGTCCCTCTCCTGATCCCCTAGTGCACATGATCCTACCTCAGCTGTACAGGGCCTCTGGAGGGTATAGGAGGGGGAAAGTTCACTGGAGGAAGAGGGCTCCGTCAGTGTGGCTTTGGAGAGGTGGTCATCTATGCTGCAGGGGGACTCTCAGTGACGCAACCTGGGCCACCATGTTCCTAGGTGTGCTGGGTCACCAAGCTGCACCTGGCCTGCTGTCTTTGTCTCCACTCCTTGAACAGTCTCATCTTGGATCAGGCTGCTCCCCATCTCCACGGCTGCTCTCTCATTCACCCCAAGTGGGATCTTGGCGACTGGGGGAAGGAAGGGAGAGGCCCCAGTGCGGCTCCTGTCTCTACTAGGTTGTCAGGCCTTCTCCCTTCATGGAAAGTCAAGCTGACACTACAAAACTGAAAGGGGCCCCAGGCACGCACATATAACCCTCACTGGCCATGCCTTCCTCTGCTCCGTAAGCATGAACAGTGGCAGCTTGGAGACACACGGCGTTGCCAGTACACTCAGGAACTGTAATGTCCTGTCAGCGATTAAATTGGGGCCCCAGAAATCCAAGATCTTCGAGGCCAATTTGAACAGAATCCACAGAGGACTGGTGGCACTAATCTGAAGATAACATCATGGAAACTGCAAGGGGACAGACACAAAAGGGCAGTAAACGACGGTGGTGGGGAGGCTGAGGGATGTGCCCACAGGTCAAGATGGCAGCTGCATAGACCAGGTACCCCAGGCTCTTCCAAGGCAGAGAAGTCCTCTCCATGTCCTGGCCATGCACCCAGGCTCTAGGGCTAAGAGAAGGCGGACTGTGTTCCTTTGTAGTCACTTGGTTCAGTCCCTGAGAAATGGTACACCATGCCACGGAGGTGATTATGCCCAGGCCTAAACTCAAGTCGTCCCATCCGCCAAACCCTCTCTACCAGAAACCAGCACCCCCTGCCCATGAGTGTTCCCGGCATCTTCACTCTGTAAATAACTTCACAAGACCATGCGGAACAGGATTTATTCTATGTCCGATCTATGAGCAGCAGAGGCTCAGAGAAGTTGTGTCGTCTGCACAAAACCACACAGCAGGAGGGGTGAGTTTAGGGTCTGGGTAGGTGCAGATTACTTTATATAAAACACACTCAGGGACAAAGAATTGAGACTCCCCAAAACTCTGGTGGTAAGAAGGTGACCAATACCCCCCCCGTGTGTGTGTGTGTATGTGTGTGTGTGTGTGTGTGTGTTTGTGTATGTGTAGGTATACATGTTCAAGTGTGTGTGTGAAGCTGTGGAGGCCAGAGATCAATGTTCAGTATCTTTCTCAAATGCTCTTCATCTTGTCTTTTGAGACAGGGTCTTTTGATGAACCTGGAGCTCATCAATTCAGCAGGTCTAGCTGCCAGCAAGCACCAAGAATCCATCTGTCTCTACCTCCCCAGCACCAAGATTATAGGCATGTGTCACCACTCCTGGCTTTAATATGGGATCCGTGGACCCAAACTCAGGTCTGTGTGCCTGTGTGGCAAGCACTGTGCCAACTGAGCCATCTCTCCAACCTCTCTGGTTTTTATTTTTGACATGCTCCACCATGAACACAATGCAAATTTATTTTCAAAATCAACATTTCCTCCAAACAGTTGTCTCCTTTTCAGTGTTTCCTTGGGGCTGTGAGCTCTGAAGGTGATCATGACAATGACTATGATGGTACCAGGGATGGTGGCATCTATCGTCAAGCCCATGTAGGTTACTATTACATGACTTCCCAGGGATACAAGAAACATCTATTCACCCTAGATATGGCACCATGAGATCAAAGCATGATTCTCTCCATGTCCAACTTGCTGAACCAATGAGCTCATTGGGGTTAACTACTTACAAGAGTATTGGTGACTAATAAACAGCTGAATCACAGAAAAACCAGCCCAGCGTGCTGACAACTCAGGAAAGCTGCATCCCTTGTGACCACCCCAGTTCATCTCATAGACCATGTGCAGCCAGGGGCAGGAGGGAGTGGTGGCTGGAATCTTACGTGAGTATCTGGGGATAACCCCTCCTTTCACAGGGGAGTATTGGTAGCCCCATCACTACTATTGAAGACCCAACCATCACTGTATAGTTTGTTCCACCATGGGCCAGGGTCACCTGAAGGTCCCCACAGCAATTTGCTCCATAACGACTTTTCCCACAGACCTTGATTCCTGACCCCCAGACCCTCAAGGGAGCAGATCTGTCCCTGGAGCCCCCCATGCTTTGACATCAGTCATAGCAGCACCACCCACACCTTATCCCTGCAGCTGGCCCAGTGTACTGACCCAGGCTTTTGCAAGGCTTCTGGGGTTTGCACATGAAAAACACCACCACGGCACCCTCCATAAGCCTCCAGGTTTTGCATTTGTATGAGGGGACACATGGGCTTCACGGGCTCACTTGGGGAACATAAGGGTTCAGGGTTGCTCCAGGACAAATGATGTGTCTTCCACACCAGAGGGCCAGCCCACCCTGGCCACATCAGTGTAGGTCTCAACCCTGTGCACATATCCACATGGAGAGCTGGCTCCTGGTCCTAGTTCCACCCTGCCTGATGGGCCCAGACTGGGCTGCCCCTCATGGCCCCACAGCCGCTCCCTGGCAGCTGCCAGCTTCGCCTCCTGTTTTAAATTGCAGCCTGCTGGGGTTCCTGTGGCCCCTTGCCTGTGGCTCCCCTCCGGCTTGGCAACCAGGGAGTGCCTGGCCCTCTGAGGTGCTCTGGGCTGCTCTATCCAGCAGGCGTGGGCTGGGTGGAAAATGACCTCAGAGGGCGGGGTAGCGGGGCAAGCCTTGGGGAGACCAGGGGCTCCCGGGGCCAGCAGGTTCCCACGCCTCAGCTGCATCCAAACACTATGCCTAGATCCCTGGTTCTGTAAAGAGGAGGGAGAACCCCATTGTTAGCCCATTAAAGATGCCTTATGCGGCTCAGCTCCTTCGGGGGCTGCAATTGCAGGCTAGTGTGAAAGGAAACAGAGGACAAGGCTGGGCAGAGACAGACAGAAGACACTGCTCCTACAACCCACCCAGGCCTAGGTATCCCCCCCCCCACCCATGTAAGCCACAGGGAACAAGAAGAGCTTGAATGTCATCAGGGGTCAGCAGGACAGTTGTGACAAAATCTGGGGACTCATGATAGACTCACAGGAGAGGCAAGAGATATAGGGTGTTAGCAGCTAACAGGGTACTCTTTGGCCGGAAGGCCAGGACATTAGTAGTGTTCTCTTCACTGTAACAAAATTCCTCACAGAAGCCACCTCAGAGAGGAAGGGCTTCTTTCAGCTCACAGCTCACAGGATACAATCCAGCGTGGCAGGAGCTGGTGGTTCAGTTTGTGCCTCCGCTTGATCTTGGGGATCAGAGAGCAGAACATTTGGGTCAGAAGGAAGGCTGGGCTATAAACCTCAAAGTCTGCCACCTTCATCATGCCTCAGGCCTCACGGCTCCATAACTTCTCCAAACAGCCCCACCGGCTGGGAGCCAAATGTTTGAACATAAGAGCCCGGAGGGAGAGCAGACAGCATTTCACATCTGAACCATAACACCAGGGGGTGGGGCTGGGGCCCCAGCGGGAGGGGAGCTGGGCTGATAGAACCTTACTGAGCAGGAGACAGGGCCTGAAGTTGTGATCGTCTGACATGACAGGGTTCATCGGGCAAGAGGGTGGACAGAGCCCCTGCTTCCTCCACTCAGTCTCCTAGCTGGGTGCACCATCTTGGGCAGGGAAAGGAGGGGTGTGGCCACTTTGGTTTCCTGCGGGTGGGCTCAAGGACAGTTTGCTGGGCTCTGGTGGATCATCTATCCATGCATGGGTCATGTGGGAGAAGATTGTCAGTCTCTAGTGGGCTTCTGGATAGCAAGCAAGCCCAGATGGAGCCTGGGATCCCTAGACTGAGGGAGATGACTCTGCTGCTGCTGCAGGTTCTCACTGTCCCTTAGCTCATGGACGCATCACCCTGCCATCTCTGTGGTTGCGCCTTCTCCAGCTTTGTGTCTTACACATCACCTGTAAGGACTTGGAGTCTTTCAACCCAGGGCCACCTGATCTAGACTCCAGACTTCACCATATCCTGACACTGCGCCCATCGGCTCCCATACCACCCCCTCCATGGACACATTAGGGGCGGGACCTACCCTCCATTTCCCAGGCTGACTCCAATTCCCATTGTACTTGGCATCATGGGACAGAGGGTACATCACAACCTGTGAATCCTTGCAAGGAACGGATCAGAGCAAGTTTTTGGGTGACATAAAAAGTGTCCACACAAAGAATTATCAAAAAAAATTCAAAGGACAGGGTCAAGGAGATTCACAACTTCTGTGAGCCTCTTGGGTGAGGGACTGGACACTTTCAGGCTAGTGTCTCTGTCCCCAAAGTCTCTGGCAGTCAAGAGAAGGGAGTAGAAGAGTCTGCTGGCCCCTCAGACCATCTCCCAGGTCCTTTTAAATCTGTCCATCCACCTACACATCCATCTGTCTATACATTTATCCAGCTGTTTATATTTTATAAACTTCATTATAAAAACTTGCAAATAAATAAAAACATCACATATCAAAATTAACTAGGTCCAAAGTCTATACAACTCAATGAATTTCTATGCATTTGGAATGAAAGCTGTATAATTTCACGTTAAGTTTTGTACTTTAAGTCTCAAATTTATTTTGGGTACTTATCCACCACCAACTCAAACAAACCCTCTAGAACTATAAAAACACTTATCTTTATATCCTCTTAGAGATAATCTGTGTTCACCATCTGCATGCAGTCCTTCATTCTCTTACATTTAGTCTTTCTTGTTCTGTTTTCTTCATCTTACAATGTACCTACATGTACATTTGCTTACATATATACACATATTATTGGCTAGATTCTAGATGTATTATTGGCTGATAACTCTATTCATCTACCCATCCACTTGTCCACCCACATATCTACCTGTCCGTCTGTCTGTACATTTATCCATGTACTCACCTACCCATATGCCCATCTCTCTACCCATTCATCATCTATCATCTGTCAATGTACCTATCCATTCTTCTACCCACCCATCCATCTATCCATCCATCCACTCATCAAACCAGCCTGCCATCACTAATCTATTTGCATATCTGATATGATGTGATTCAGTCCATACATTCATCTCCTCATTAATTTATCTGTCCATCCATTTATTCATTTGGACATCTGATCTAGTGCTGAGTGGGAGAGGAGTCCAAGGCCCCTTTCTAGTTGTTTTCCCTAATGGCCACCAGGCAGGAAGCCCAGTCTGCAGCTGGAGCTCCGGGTGGGACCCTGGGCCTTCTGGCTGCTGTTTCTGCAGCTGAAAAGCATTTCCAGTTTACACCAATATAATTACTCACCCTCCTTTAGATGGGAGTGTACAGGGAGGCAGATGTCACTGGCCCAGGCTGATCCCTACTGCAGAGGACAGGAAAGCTGGTTATGGCTATGCCAGGATGGGAGGTGGAAGTGACTCCCCATGCCACTGCATCCATGGGTCAGGACACAGAGAAGGCCTGAGGGCACAGTGCCATCCCATGAAGACAGGCAGGAGATGACAGGGTCGGGCGCCTGGACCTGAGAGGGAGCTGTCCTTGGCAGAGGTGCTAGCCAGTATGACCAGGCTGCCAGAGCCCTGGGAACCCAGCCATGGGTGCCGGGCTCAGGGTGGGGCTGGCCCCCAGCTCTGGACAGTCAAAAGGAGGGGTGGGATTTCTAGGGAAGGGACATACAGAGTCTTGAAAAGGTCTGGCCCCAGTGGCTGCTAAGGGATAGGGCAGTGGTTAACAAGTTGGCCCCGTTTAACACTGCGTCTGTGAACTTGAGGCCAGCTGGGCTAGACGGTTGAAGGCCACCTTCCATAGAAGTGATCTTCAGGGTGGTGTCTGGAGGGGTCTTTCTGGTAACCCTGGGTTCTAGAGAGAGTTGGGGCACTTGGCTGACCCCAGTCCTTCGTCAGCACCAGACACACTGTCCTTCAGGCTTCTCATTTCCTTGTAGATCCATGTTGGGAGAAAGTGGGTCTGGGTCAACTTATTTTACCACCACAGACAGAAGCCAGTGGGATTAGTCAGCTCCCTTTCAGAGCCCATCATGGAGGCACCCTGTGAGCCACCAAGCCCTGGACATGAGTGAACCAGGCCATGGACTCTCCCTGCGCTGCCATCAGCCATGTGTGTCTGGGCAGTGAGTGGCCTGTCGTCCTTTTGCCCCTAGCGTGGGCTGCAGTGGACAACGGAAAGTCTGTGCAGTGCAGTCTGAGTGGGCACTAGGGGGCAGAGGGAAGCCTGAGAGGTCAAGAAGGACCTCCCCAGCCCACCCACCTACTTATCATTAACCCCTTAGGGCTAGGAACCCGGAGTTAGGAAGTAGGGGCCACCCACCTACTTATCATTAACCTTTAGGGCCAGGAACCCGGAGTCAGGAAGCAGGGGCCACGCACTGTGAGCTGAGAATAGGTCTAGGTTTGGCACCTAGGTGACTCTGCAGAGCTTGAGAGTCACAATAGATGC